CATCGTGGCAGTGGAGCAGGTCCCCACAACATCATCGAGATCGACGCTGACCCACTTGGCCGGACGCGGCAAAACTGCTTGCGGATCTGTAGCGGTGTAGCCAGTGCTGATGAGCGAAAAGTCGACTTTTGGGGTTTGAGGCTGTTCCAGGAGGGCTTTGTCCTCCTCCAGCCCAATCGCAAACTACGCAGAGCTGCCCCTTTGCAGACTCAATTTCTGTAGTGCTTCTATTCTTATTATGTTACGGCTGTTTCTATGGTGATTATTATCAGTGTTATTGTTTGCGTTTTTGTTCTTCTCCTTTTTGTTATGCCTACTGTTAATGTTGCTTTTAGTATTGCTACGGCTGTTCGTTTTTTTTGATAGGCCACGTTGATTTAGAATTTGTCGCATTGGAGCTGTTGCTGCAGTCGGAGCTTCAAAGCGGAGGTCCGCGTGAGAGACGGAGTTCCAGAGGAGTTGATACAGACCAAACGGGGCGCATCAATTGTCCAGTCGCCAGGCAACGAATGGTTTTGCCACGCAGAGAAGCTTAGTAAACAGAATCGAGGCTGATTGTTGATGCTGTTGCTCTTGTTCTTGTTGTCGCAGACTGCCTTGGCGAAGCATTGCGGAAGATGCTTGAAATGTGGGTTTCATTCGAACAGGTTGAAAAAGGCGCAGAGCTTTCTGTACTTTAAAGTGTTAGCAAATTAAGCATATCCAGCTCCAAGACCTCCCCATGCGTGCCAAGACCGCCAAGACCCGGTGACATCATCATCTTGGAAAAGGACGAGGTGTACCGGGTCTCACAGTCCGCATTTGCCGACACATACGCCGAGGCCACCCGCTGGGACGAATTATTGACCGCAGCATCAGAGGATTGATCGTGGCACTGTGAAAGGTTCTCCGAATGCTGTCTTTGTGTAGGGCGGCTGCATCAGATGCCATGGCATTTCGTGGACGCGAATCCCCCAAGATTCGTTCCACGTGCTGGGTAGAACTCGCAGCATTTCTTCGGGCACATTTGACTCGAAGGCAAATGCGAGCAATGTGTTGTTCCAGTTGCATGTTGCAAATGCAGTTGTACATCCTCCGGATCGGGCTTAATTTCAAGCCGTCGAAAGTTGCAAAAGAGGAGAGCTTGGCTCTAAATCCTTCGTTGCAGGGAAGCAGAGTCGGGCAAGCCGCAAGCCTTCTTCATGCGTCGGATTCCGTGCATGGTGTTGTGCTGGTGGAAGGTCTCAGCGCTCCAGCGCTGTGATGCCAACGGTTGGCCTGGGATGGTTGCGTCCTTATTCTTCGCATGTATGTGCACAGGGTTTTCGCTAAGGTTTAGCAGCCGGTCATGCTGTGTTTCTTTTTCGGCAATTATATTTGGCCCCCCATTAACTTTTGAAACCAAACAAAACGGAAAAGTACGCCGTGACGGTGTGCTTTTGCGAGCGTCGCACTTTTCTTCTTGTTGCTCGTGGTTAAGATTGTTGCTTCCAAGCTGTTGCTTCTGTCTTATGCTACGTTCAGAGTTTGCTGTTTCAGTAGCTTCAGATTTATTCCCCTATTGTGTCAAGTTAAAGTCTCCCTGGGAGATTCCGGACCCTCGTAAGGAGATACTTGGACCCTTAGGGTAGAGTTTGAAGCTTGAGGTTGAGCGGTTCATTGCATGGGCCACAGCTGTCAAAGAGCAGAGCAGAGGTTTTCAGCCCTGCGAGTTGCGCTAATTTTCTTAGTAGCTGAGTGGATACACTTTACACTTTTCGGGATAATATTACGCACTATGAAACTAACAGTGTACATTTTGGGGGCTTATGAACTCAGCAATTAAGTTTTGATATTGCCTCTAGGGGCGTTGCCTGTGGATCCGAAAACCTACCGTTTTAAGGGCTGTACCTTATAAGTATAAGGGGTCATAACCTACTATTTTGGTAGGGTTTGGGGATACAGGTAGGGTTTAGGACCGTCACCCGGAGCCCGAAACTGTAAGCCACAAGCCCCATCGGGCGGGTCATGTTGATCTGTTTTCCCTGGAACTCGTAAGGGAGTGTCCTGCTGGCTTTCTTGCCAAGCCATGCAGTTCAAGATACCATCATCGAAGCACAATAACAACCAGTACAAGCATGTGGGCGGTTGTCAAAATTTGAGCCCTGTTTGGGGTACCCTAAATAATAGCTGCCGTATTATGATAAGGACCAAAAAGGGGACCCTAATTTTTGACAACCACCCATGTATAAACCCTGAATCCCCAAACCGAAGCTTCGCAACCCCCAAGCAACAGCCGGCTTTCTTTGCCATTGTAATCTACGACTGAAGTTCCCTAGGAAGAACTCTTCCCAGAGTCCGTGTTAACTACTATGGGTTTTTGGTCCCTAGGCCCCCCAGCACCACCATAAGGAGGCAGTTTCCTAGGGTTCCAGATGCCGGAATATGGCGGGTTACTGGGGTGTAGAACATACGGTTAGTAACCTACTAGTTAGGCAACTGGAGCCGAAGGGCTCTTTAAAAAAACATGAGAGCCCAATATCCCTCAATTCTGGAATACACCTTAATTCACACGATTAACGCCGCCGTTCCTCAAATTAAGTAAGGAGTTACGATACCATAAATCATAATACTAATGCCCCTATAGTTCAAGGTAGATTCCTCAAATTAATGAGTACTGGCCTGTCTTTGAGTAAAAAGAACAAATTGCGGCAGGGCCTTAGACGAAGACACGTCGCCGCCGAAAGTCGATGAGGAGGCCGGGAGATGGCCTTCTCCCAAAAGGTTTCTTTGAGGGTTCCAGAAGGGCTCCTTAAGGGCTCTTCAAGGGTTCGCTGTATTATACTATACACCATACTATACTATTCTGTGCTATGCTGTACTGTATTGACTTTACTGCACTATACCTTTATGGCTCCAGTCTTCTACAGTTTAGGGATTTAGGGTCGTAAACCCTGGAAAGCACCACAATGCTTACAACGTTTTAACCAAGGGCTGCCGAACATCCGATGTCCAGAGTCGATAACCCAGAGGGTCCACATTATATGGGAGGTTCTGAAATGAGGGGTACCTCATTTTGGGGTCCTGAAAATAAGGATCCTACTATTTAAGGTACTATATTGGGGTCCCGTATTTTCGGTTTGTTAACCTCATTCCATCATAGTAGTGTGAATGGGCCCTCTTGGCAGGTAGTCGTGCAGGTAGTTTTCCCGAAGTAGGGTGCCGTATGAAGAGTACAGTCATATAGGGCTCCTGACAGGGACCATGTCTCTGACAGTGGCCCATATGTAGTACCGTAAGGCTCCTGGACCCTCGTGTAGTGAGATCCCGAACCTTAGCCCCCAAAGCCGAAACCCTCCGCCAGAAAGCCCATGACCCCTTTAGGAGCCTTAACGTAGTATAGGGGCTTCCGTCATGACCCCTTTAGGAGCTTAAGGTACCATAGGGGCTTTGACAAGAATGTTGTAAGGCTTTTAGTGTTTTTCTGGGCCGAAACACTATTGTGGCTCTTAGGGGCCCTGGGGTTTCGGGGCTTTGGGGGTTTGTGGGTGTAGGGTTCCTTTAAAGGAAGGTCACTATAAGGCTACAAGGGATCTATAGGGGTTTTAGGGAGGTGCGATCTGGATTAGACTATTTGGAGTGTTACCGGTGTGCGACAGCGAACAGGTCCCCATAACTACATGCAAAACCGTCCGTAGAAAATTATGTAGACCACTAATTACAACACACCTTGTCTTTAAGCCTCCCCACTACATAGTCCCTGTGAAGCGGAGGCGGTTGCCCAATCAGCGGTCTACATTCAACTAGAAATGATATTCCTGGGGCTCCTTGTAAATTTTGCATACTATGCCATCCAGCACAATCCTTAGTTCTAAGTATGAGGGCCCGCTTGGTATAGAACCCTTGCAGTAGCACCTATATGAACCTTACTTAACAGGATCCCTTAAACCCTACACCTACAAGACCCGTTAAAGAAACCTGTCTAACAGTTTTGGGAAGCTAATTCCGGAATAGTAGCACGTATGGACCCTCTTGGGAAACCTTATAGATGCTTTCATTAATGACCTGAAACCCTGCATTCTACTAAATCAGGTATATACTTCCCGACCCTTTGGGTAAGAAACCCTTATAGAAACCTTCTTTACGCTGATAACCCCCGAAAACCCTAAAACACTAAACCGTACAACCCGACACCTTAAACCCCGAAACCCTCAACCCTGTAAACCCTAAATCCTAAACCCTATCAACCCTAAGCCCTATAACCCTAAACCGAAGCCTTCATCAATTTCAAGCCTGAGGCCGTCGAAGCAGCCCTTTCTCCTGGAGGACTACTGGAGGCTCCGTAGTGTGGAGGTTTGGGGTTTCGGGGTCATAGGGTTTTGGGTTTGGGGGTTTAGGGGTTTATAGGGTTAGGGTTTTATAGAGTTTTGGGTTTAGGGTTTTGGGGTTTATGGTTTAGGGCCTAGGGCTTTTCGGGCATTGGGCTTAGGGGTTTAGGTTTTTTTTTTTTCGTTATGGGCTTGGGGTGCAAAGGGCCTTAGTATTCAAGACAGGGGTGGAGAAAGTTCGGTAGTAATCAAAACCTCTTGCAGCCCACCCACCCGAAGGGTCCAAGTATCATTCTGGTATATACTTATGGGGCATTTTGGGGGTCTAAGTATATACCATGATGAAACTTGGACCCTTTGGGCCAAGGCCCTAAACCCAAGAACCCCAGACCTCAAACCCTAAAGCCAGAACTAACCATTGATATTGGAGGAGCTAAGGAGCCAGGGATGATGATAGTCCCTCCTGAATAAGGAGCTAAAGAGCCAAGGGAACCCCAAAACCACTGGTTAGAGAAGCCTCATGCATGGACTGTGCAAGTCGGCAAAGAGACCTCAAAAACAAGATCCCAACCCTGAATCCTAAACCCTAAACCTTATATAAGCCGCAAACCTGGAACCGTAGACCCTAAAACCATCAACCCCTCTAAGCCCCAAACCCTAAGCCCTAAAACCCTGAAGCCCTGAACCCCTGAGACTCTGAAATGGGTAGTTCTGATGAGCAGCATATCCGTGGCAGCCGATGCATTGCGAATTCTGATGGTTACCATACTCCGTCAGGTTTTGAAGTCCACTCTGGACCTGACAACCATAAGTGCCCTCACGAATATAATGCCTCCCGCTGCGCGGTTGCTCCGGGCGCTGGACGATAAGCGATGTCATCACATCTTCACGGTTGTGGTGCCCTCCGGCGGCGGCAAATCGACCCAGTGTGCCTTACTCTCCGATGAACGTCTCCTGATCACTGGATTTGTCGGCGTGGACAAGGATGCAATGCTCACCGCACATGAGACGGGCTGCAGCGGAACCTCTGACTATGTGATGATCTCGGCTGCAACCTCCATGCTTGCAACGGACGTGGTTGGAGCTGAGGGCGACGACGCTGAAGAGGCCAGCAATGTACGCGTGGACATGGAGCAAGTCAAACGCGTTACTGACTCCACCCGAACTTATATATGGAACAGGATTGCCGCAATTGAGCATGAAGCAAAGGTTATAGGTCCCCTAATGTGGGTTGTAATTATAGTTGCCCTACATATAAGTCCACTTATAACTACCCATGAACCTCAAACCCTTTACCCTTATAGAATCCCTATAGATCCCTTTACAGTAAAGGGACCCTTAAAAGGAACCCTTATAACTACCCATGAACCTCCAAGTACGGGAGCCAAATAATACAGGGGCCCTGTAATAAATAAAGTAGGCTTCCTTTAAGGGGCTACTTCAAAGGGTTCTATTCTATTTTGGGATCCACATAAAAGGGTTCTACCTCCAAGTACGGGAGCCAAAATGCAAAGCTCGAAGCTTTGGCCGTCACAGGCTCCCGATGTCCGCGGGCGGCAGCTTCCCCGGCATTAGGGGTTAGGGTTGAGGGTTTAGGGTATAGTGTTTAGGGTTGAGGGTTTAGGGTTTAGGGTTTCGGGTTTAGGGTTTAGGGGTTTGGGGTTTATAGGGTATAGCTTCTTTTTCTAATTCCCTACTAACCAAAGGCAACCGTCATGGTTGCGGCTACTCTTGGGGACAAAAAAGGCCTCAGGGGTTTAGGGTTCAGGGTGTAAGGTTTTACGGTTACGGGTGCGGCTTCAAACCTTAGGGTGTATAGGGCCTAAGAGTTTAGGCATACAAGGTTTAAAGTATAGGGTTTAGCGCTCCGGCTGTAGTAGAAATCCTGCACACGCAGCTGGCACCTTGGGATTTCGTGGTTCAGGGATAGCACGGCATATTTGGCTTCAGGGTTTCGGGTTTCGGAGTTTGGGTTTAGAGTTTAGGGTTGAGATCACCGATTGAGGGAGCCCCACAAGTCCTTGGCACACAAACCTTCCTTGAAAGGGACGAAATCATCAGCCTCTTCTCAAGCTCAGGTGACCAAGTTCAAGGTGGCCTCCTAAAAAACATTTTTTTTTAGAAGGTCAGAGGCCGATCTCTTTAGACGAAGTGGCCTTAGCAAAGATCCAAAAGGTCATCTTGACAGAGCTCTGCGAGATCAAGGAGCTCAGCAGCAGCAAAATGGATCGCGTTGGATGTCCTTAGCCAGCAGAGTGGCGCTTCGACCTCCAGGCCTGCTTGAAATCATTGCAGAAAACACTTATCGGGTCTTTCCTGAAGGAAGTGGCAAGCCAGCACCTTAGGACCTTCGCGTGTTGGGCTCCTTAACTAGGTTCCGGAGTAGTACGCTCTTGCCCCTTCTTCTTTTGATTTTGGGTTCCCGAATTAAAGCCAAATCCTAGGAAAAGGGTACCCTTATCATCATTAATCAAGGGCCTACTCAGGAACATAGTTAAAGTCATCTAGCCAGTTGGCTTCTAGAAGCGGTTTCGAGGTCGCCTGGTCGTAGCACATTGCATATAAACGCCACTGGATGTACAAACCCCGTCTAGCACGGGTAAACCATAAACCCTAAACCCAAACTGCGGCCTTGTGTTGGACCCTTAGAGAGTTAGGGTTCGAATCTCCAGCCCTATACTTTATAGCACCCTTTAAGGATCCCTCAAAGAAAACCCCCCTAAACCCACCCTTAAAGGGCACATTCACTCTTAGGGTTCCCCTTACAACCCTACTACCAAATCCTCTAAACCCCTTAAAGGAACCCTTAAATGAACCCTAAACCCCTTAAAGGAACCCTTAAAGGAACCCTAAACCCCTTAAAGGAACCCTTAAATGAACCCTAAACCCCTTAAAGGAACCCTTAAATGAACCCTAAACCCCTTAAGGGAGCCCGTAAAGGAACCCTATAGACCCCCGTTAAAGGAACCCTTAAAGGTCGAGTTTCCAGCATGGCCGAGGCGTCCATTGCACCAGGCGGCTGAAGCCGGACGAGCAGACTTGGTCGCCGCGTGGCGGCAGAGAGGTTGGAAACCCAATAGCCTCGATCCTTAAGAGTAATGTATAGGGAATCCCAGCACTATTTGGCCTTAATCCGGTTTCCAACTTTATGGGGTTCGCTGTAGGGTTTCTAGGGCTTGTGGCCTCGACTCAGAGGGTCCAAAGTACCTATATGACCTAGAAAAGCAGTTGAGCCGGTTGTTCCGGATTCTAGGAGAGCTCATATAATGTTGTTTGTCGGGATTGTAGAATGGCTCAGCGGTTCAGGTGGGATCATTCCAAGGGTAAAACGAGGGACCCTTAATAAGGACCTCTAGGAATATACCCTTAATATAGCAATTTTATACCCATTATTTCGCCCATTATAGGGTAGGGGTCCCCATTAAGGGTCCCTCCTTTTCCCCCGTTGATCATGAAACATTCGTGGTGGATTGGCTGGCCAACAAGAGGCAAGGGATAGAGGCCTTACACCTGCTGGCTGTAGCAGCTGACAGTTCCACCGCATCAGCCAGGAAGTCTCATCCAGGTCCAAGGCAGCAGGCCTCCCCCAGCAATATAGGCGCCTTAATAATTACCTATACCTAGTAGTAGAGTAGGGAACCTTTCACATTTTTGGGGTAGTATAGTCCCTAGATAATCCCTATATGACCAAAAAGGTTAACCTTTAGTTCCCCATGATACCCGACAAGGCTCCTTTTGGTAATTTTCAGTATCATGGGCCCCGACACCCTAGTCTGATGATCGAGGCCCCTACACTAAGTTGCATCTTTCCCCATGTAGATCTGTCTATATGGATGGTTGTCAAAAGTATGGTCCTTAAGATAATGCGGCGCCTAATATTTAGGGTACCTATGATTTTGACAACTACCCATATACCTGCTGGTTCTTTTTGCTAACCCACCTCACAGTTTTAAGTCGGTGTCCGTCCCTTGTATGTACTGCAAGCCAGCACGAGGGCTTGCCAAGCAACATCTGGCAGAAAACTTCATATGGGTAGTTGTCAAAATTATGGCCCCTTTTTGGGTGCCCTAAATATTAGGTGTCGTACTATGTTAGGGACCCCAAAAAAGGATCCTGATTTTGATAACCACCCATATGATATCCTAGACCCTCGTAGCCCCTGAGCCAAACACCAACTCCCATCCCAAACTTGGGTTTAAGGTTTAAGTATAATCTTATTCGGGTTTGGGGAGTGGCCCCCTTGCCACAGCACACCACATTTCAAGGGTGATTGATACCATGAAGCTGTTCCTCGTCTAGTTGCGCACAAAATGGCCAGGTTTAGTCTCTCCAAAACCTCCCTAATCGAAGCCTGTACTTAATGCCCCACACCCCGCGCACCATCCCCAATCCCCAAAATCCCAAGACTCTAAACCCCAAGCCCCTAAACCCTACACCCTTAAACCCGAAACTTGCACTTCAAACAGTCGTCTCTAAGGGTATCTATACGGGTAGGGTTTAGGGTTTAGGGTTTAGGGTTTAGGTAAGTGGGTAGTAAGTAGACTTATAAGTACCCTAAAAGGGACCCTAATTGGGGCTATGGTACTCATAACTCTACAAAATAACCAGTTACTAAGTCCCCCGACCCTCCAAAGATCCATGGCCTGCGAGAGCCGGCTATAATCGAGCGCGAAAGCCGGCTAGATTTGGCAGTTTCCGAAGATTAGGGGTACCTTATTTGGGGGGTCTATAAAAGAAGGGTCTTACTACCTAGGGTACTACATTAGGGTCCCCTATTTTGTGGAAACCCCATTTGGGCACGATTAGTACCAGGAATCGGTGGAACCATGCTCTCAGGTACTTGCAGCCATATTTATCTCCCCCCTAGCTGCATCCCCTAATCCTCAGACGACACCATCACCACTAGACTACTCGGTGGAAAGGATCCAGTGAGCCAAAAACCAAACGCCTACACCCGACTTCTGGCGGACGTAACAAAGGTGTCAGCCGAACTTAAACAAAAGCTCTACCATTGCCTAGGCGCGCCTGCTCGATTCAAAAGCGGATGCGGATGCTACGACAGCAGCCAGGGACCGCCTGACACACGAGATCCTTTATGCGCTGTTCTTCGGGTGTTCCAGGGTATTCCACTACAAGGGTTCGAAAAGAGTCCATATGGGTTTCTATAAGGGGTCTACAAGGATCTATAAACGGTTTCGACAAGGGTTCTAAACCGTTTTAGGGTCCTTTTTGCAAGGGCACGAAGGAGCCAGCCCCAAGTAACCCGAAACCATAAACCCTAAACCCCAAACCCTCAAGCAAGCCTGCAACTTGAAATTATGCTTTACCTAGCATTTTGAAAGCATGGTCTTGGAACAGTAGTAAATCCAAAACAGAAGCTCCTCGAAGCTCTCCCGGGACCCTCTCCGTCTCCGTCTCCCTCTCCCTCCCTCTCCCTGTCCCTCTCCCTTTCCCTCTCCTCTCCCTCTCCTCTCCCTCTCCTTCCCTCTCTCTCCCAGAGCAAGAATCCAAAACAGAAACTCCACGCAACTTTCCCCTCTCCCTGTCCCTATCCATCTCCCTCTCCCTCTGCTCTCCCTCTCCCTCCTATAGCGAAAATCCAAAACAGAAACTTCTCGAAACTCAGCGAAGCTTTCCCCGGACATGAACCCTCAATAGTTTCAATAAACCCTGAACCCAAAACCTTAAACCTGGAAGCACCATATTCCCACCACATCGGGCTTAAGAGCTTCGGGTACAGCCTACAGTCGAAGCCCTGACTGTGGCCATCGTCCTAGGTAGTCTTAGGGAGACCCCTGAAAGGGCCAGGGTTTAGGGCTTATGGTTTAGGGTTTAGGGGGCCCTTCTGAACTCTACGTCTGGCTCTTTTAAAACGGACCTCACTGAGAGGGTCTATATCTTCAAGGGTCCCCATAATCTAACTCCTTAATAGCTTGCAATCCCGGAAGCCCAGAGCAACAGCCTCTCCACGGCCGGAGCCATAATCATCGCGCAAACCCAGAGAGCCCAAAGTACCTGTATAGTAGAATGTAGTGTTTCCATATTCAGAATTGCTATTCTGATTTGGGGAAGTTGAACCCTTAAGGGAACCCTAAACCCTAAACCCTAAACCCTAAGCCTTATATGTCCTTTGGGGAACTTCTCGTGCGTGCTTTGCAGGACATCCAACTCTCGCTGACACGAGCGCCAGGTGGGACGGACCAGGGTTTCCCAGATAAAAGCACTGGGCATTGGGTGTACTATCTATCTATCCACCTATGTATCTAATTTTGTATATGTATATCTATGTGTAAGTACGTCTCTCTCTCTCTCTCTCTCTCTTTCTCTCTCTTTCTCTATGTACCAAAAAATAAGCAAATAGATATTATATAGCTGAAATATATATATATATATATATATGCAAATATATGTCCATATGTATATATATATATATACACACACACTATTAACTTACGCTGCCTTGAACCCGCTTATAAAGTACAGGGCTCGGGCTCATGTTCATACCCTTCTAGTCCATATAGTTTTACTATATCAGAAAAAGCCGGACTCCAACTAGTCAGATCGCTATGGCAGGGTATCGAAGCTCAAAGCTCCGCAGCACAGCCCGACAGAGCCCTGCAACAGCCCGATTATGAACCTTTGAGTCCGCGTACACCCTGATTACAAGCCGCAAACTGTTAGAAGTCTTACACAAAATTATGTAACTAGGACCTAGAGTAGGCCCTTATTCCCTTTTTGGGGGCTTCAGGTTCCCTTATAAGCCCCTTTCAACCCTTACCCGAAGGCTCAAAAAAGCCCAGATCCTCATAAAGTATGGTCTTTGGGACCCAAAGCCTTGACGTATGAGTCCTCAGAGCCTAATTAAGGGCTATAGATCCCCTTAAAGGAACCCCTGTAGAAACCCTATAGATCCCTTCTTCATAAGTCCTTAGAGCCTAAGGGTTATGGAACCCTTAAGTGCCTTAAGCTGAACCCTCCCAGGCGACGAGACCTGGGGCTTTGAGTTTGATGCCTTCCAAGAGAGTCAGAGGTGGGAGCTGACGTTTTGTGTACTGGAGGGGCCTTAAACCAACTAGGGTGCCCAGTAGTACCCTTATTCCCTTTTTGTAGTCCTAGGGTCCTTATAAAGTTACCCAATACCAAAAAGAGAGCTTTTTAGTCTTAGGTTACTGGGTATCCTAGCCAAGGGTCCATGTCAATGTACCCAAATAGTATACATATACTTTGACAAACAACAATAACGTACGTCCTGTTCAGGGACTTTAGGGTTTAAGTATATACAGTACTAGTTTGGCACATGGAACCTTAGAGACTTGTCAAGGTTTTCTATACACTAAATCCCCGTGTGGGCTGATGTTTTGTGCATGGTTTGGAGGTTTTTGGGTCCGTACAGTTCAGGTTTCAGGGTCTAGGTTTAGGGTTTAGGGTTTTGGGGCTTAGGGTTTAGGGGTTTAGGGTTCAGGTTTCAGGGTCTAGGGCTTCGGTTATCGAGCATGCGGATGGCGAGGGTTCAGGGTTTAAAAGCCAATGTTTAAGTTTAGGGTTTAGGGTTCAGGGTTTAGGGTTTAGGGTTTAGGGTTTCGTTTCGGTAGGGGGTTTAGGATTAAACGGTCTTCTCAAGGAGATCTTAGCGCCACAGCGCGAAGCATGCAAGCCGAACCTTGCCAGCCGCATCTGGTGCGATGCCTACTTTCTCATAGGGCGCCTTCTGTAGTGCGGAATCAGTTGGGAGTTTCCGAAAATAGGGGACCCTAATATAGTACCCAGAATAATAGGATCCTGATTATAAGGACCCCAAATACAAGGTACCCCTAATTTTCGGAAACTCGCAGTTGGCTTGGGGGCCGGCTTTCCTTGGTTCTTCAATCCCCAATCTTTAAATGTGTCGAGGTGTTTTATAGTTTCCTTTTTTGTTTATGTGTTGGGGTTTTTATACCCTAAGGGTCCGTGATATACATTGGCCTTAATGTAGTCCCTATATAGGTACTTTGGGGCTCATGTATCTCTATATGGGTACATGGACTTACATGGACCCTTAGGTTTAGTTTTCACATTTAATTAGTTCTGCGGCGTATCTGGGAAGCCAGTTTGGGGCTTTTGGGGTTGAGGATTCTGGGCCCAGGGCACAGGGCTCAGGCTCTTGATTTTGATTTTGCGCTCAGGGCTTTAGACTTTGAGGTCACAGAACATAAACCTGGGGATTCACAAACCTACCGTTTTAGGGGTTAGACCCTCTAATTAAGGACTATTTCGTAGGGTTTGGGGTCACAGGAACTTACCTAAGCAATGAGAAATTTGGACCCAGGGGATGTCTGTACTTGGGCTCGTGTCAAGAAACAGGACCTGGCACGTAAGATGCAAGAGGAGTTTTCAGTGTCCCGGTCGGCGGTGTGACCTTGCACTGCCTTACAGCTTTACTTGTAAACCATACCCTCGGATGCCCAGTAGTACCCTTATTCCCTTTTTGTAGCCCTAGGTTCCTTATTAATTTGCCCAATACCAAAAAGGGAGCCTTTTTACTCCTAGATTACTGGGCATCCTAGGACCTTATGCCTTAGGCTGTAAACTCCACGCCTTCAAACCGGTTCTCAGTGCCAAGGGCCCCAAGCCTAAGCCTTATTGTAAACCCTCACCGAGAAGCCTAAACCCTCGACTTACAGGAACGCACACTCTAACACCTTACGAAGCCCCCCAAATCGTGAACGCCGCATAAGAACCTACGAATCCTCACAACTCAGAGGGTACCCTACCATTCCGGAATTAGGTCCCAGTATATATTATGGACCCTCTTGGTAATCATCTCTGAGATCTTAGAAGGTTTTCTATAAACACCCACTAAACCCTAAACCCGTAAACCCCTAAACCCTAAACCCGTAGTAAATAGAACAAAGAACGTGGCCTGCACAGGAGGCAGGTCCTCAAAGAGATCCTTCCCAACACCCCTGCGGGACGCTGGAATCAGAAGCCGCTTAGCTGCGTGGCGTTGGCCACTTCGTTACCCAGAGAGCCCTGGGGTTTAGGGTCTATTCGTTTGGCGTCCCGCGCTCGCAGCGCCAACTCTGCAAGGAGGATTGTAGAACTGCACAAGCAACTGATTTCTGAGCGGGTCCGCGATGTATCCTAACACTGAACAAATCTCAAGTCCAAGTATTGTGCCATTCAATGACAAGACAACAACCTCTTGGGTAGGTTCACTTGTACTTGGGGTAACTATGTAGGGTTAGGGTTTGGCTATCCGGCTCCCAGGCGTATGTGCAAGTACACTTACATGGGCAGTGCTCTGGTTATGCCCCTTTCGGGTTTCTTGTGATTTGAGAGTGACATATGCTTTTGGCCCATAACTGCTCCTTTTTCAGATCCGTCTGTTTGTCAGCACTGAAACCCCTTCACTGCCTGTGTATCCTAGCGGTAGCGTGGAAAACAATACAGACCCCAACCCTAAGGCTCAAAATGGCCCAAAAGCCTTACAATATGAGTCCTTGGAGCCTAGAAGGGTTATAGATCCCCTCATAGGGACCCCTGTAGACCCTTTTCATGAGTTCTTGGAGCCTAAGGGTAAATGAAACCGAGAGGCCAAAAAGCGCCAAGCTGCAACCAGGCGTAAAAACCGTAAGCCTCGAAGCCCTAAACCCTAAACCCTAAGGGCTTCCGAAAACTTGAGTCTCCTTTGGAATTGTGTTTTGTTTTTGTTCATACAAAACCCAAGAGAATATCAGGAATTATGCGTTTATTATGGTTCTAAAAGGGGGGATGGAAAATAGGGGACCCTGCCCCCCCCCCCCCCCTGCCGAAACTAAGGTACCCCCTGTCTTATTACGGAAACTCCCAGGAAGAAGCCTGAAGAATTCCCCCAAGATTCGTCTGAAGGCTCCATATTTCCTACTATTTGCTTAAGAAACCACCAAAAAATAAAAAATATCTTCCTTATAGGGGTAATATAGGGATTAATAATTATTTTTTTGGGTGGGATTCTTAAGCAAATAATAGTTTCTCACCTACACCACAAAGGAGCCAAAAACCCTGTTCTGGTTTTTGCAGACCCCTAAACTCATAGGAGGGCAAAAGGGGTTTTAACCTATGGGGTTTAGTCGGGATTAGGGTTCCCATAATAGGGTTCATATGAAGGAATCCCTACCCCAAGAATCTTAAACCCCCTTTTTGGCCTCCCATCATAAATAAGCCCTGAACCTAGAACTCGAATCCAGACCTGAAACTTGAAACCATGTTTGAAGGTTCAGGGGACTTAATAAGTAGCTAACCCAAGGCATTTAAGGACTTATATATTATGGCTTTTGGGCCCAAAGACCATACTATATAAGGCTTTCGGTCTACTTTGAGCCTTAGGGAATAAGTAGCTAACAAGTAGACTTAAATGTACCCTAAAAGGGGTCCTAATTGGGGTTACGATACTTATGAGTCTATAAAGTACACCTACTTACTAAGTCCCCCGACCCTCCAGGTGAGGCCCCGGCCGTACCAGCACGGCCCCACTGAGGCAGCAGGAGATGCAGGTGGACTACCTTCGCCCAGGCCATGTTGGTGCCGTCGAAAACTCCTTAGTAGCTGAGTGGATACACTTTTCACTTTTTGGGATAATATAACCCACTATAAAAAATGAAAGTGTAGAATTTTTGGGGCTTATGAACTCAGCAACGAAGACTCCTTCCAGAGCTCCCTTCAGGGTGTTTCAAGCATTCCAGACTAGAAGTCTTCACAAAACCAACCCTAAAAGCGTGGAAGCCTAAATCAACCCCCATAACCCCAAAACCCCAGACCCTACACAGGTTTTTAACTTGTTGGACCTATTCGTTTGCCTAGGCACCGTAAACGGCCATATGGGAAACCCGCCTCAAAGCCTTAATTACTTTAAACCCTAAGCCCTATAACCCTAAGCCCTAAGCCCTAAACCTTATAAGCCCATAACCCTCAACCCTATGACCCTATAACCATCATAAACCTTGTAAGTCTAAACCCTAAACCCGGTTAAAAGCTTTACCTCCGCAGGCGACGAGCTTTTGGAAGTCAATGGCAGCCGCGAGGCCACGGCGAAGTCGGACCTCCGGCGCTGGCACCAGGCAGGGTACTCAGAGATCCCAGTGCTTATTAATTTTGGGAAATACCTTAGATTACGGGCTCACTATTTTAATGTAAGGTATATTCCTCATCTAAGGGCCGTATAGACCCCTTAGTACAGTACAGGAACCCTTAGGTATCCCTTAAAGGAACCCTAGGTATTCAGTAATCAAGAGGTGTTGGGATCATTTTAGGCAAGTTTCCGAGTCCTCCTCTCTTCGACTTGAGGACGGCCAAAGGGATTTGTGGTTGCAGCTTCCAGCCCGAAACCTCAGTAGGAGCCAGAAAGTTGGAATATGATTATCCTAACCCTTCTGTGGTAAATTATACGGTATCCTACCCTGAAACCATATTCCAACTTTCTGGAGTTCCCTGTAGGAACCTAGAACCGAAGGGTCCAAAGGCCCCATAATTAGGTAGTGGGGTGTCGGGTAGTAGTTATGTAGGCCACTACTTTGGAGAGTATATGATAATTGGGTACTTGGACCCTTAGGGCAATACAACCCAAGGACTTTGGGTTTAGGATGTACCGTTCCCGGATTCAGTCGTTGGTCTGGAGTTTTGAGTCCATGTGTTTAGGGATTGTGATTTCTGGTTCTCGCTATGATGACGAGGTTTAACAAACCAGCAACCGCATCCCCTTAAGTAGTCTCTGCAGTCTCGATAAAGCTGCAAAAAATGGCAAATACACCCACACTTTACTGTACTTATTCAGGGCCCTTTTGGTGGTCAACCTCCCCACCCCCTAAACCCTAGACTCCTAAGCCCGAAACTCGTAAACCCTAAACTGGCCCTAAACTCCTAAACCCGAAACTCCTAAACCCTAAACTCTGAACCCTAAACCCTGTTCCCTGAACCTCAATCCACTGAAACGATTGCAGGTGAACCTGCTCTTCCGCCTTCGGGCAGGCTGGGCACCCAGGGCCCAGGGGCTGAAGAACTTGGTTGTTGTTCCGGTCTAGGGCTCAGGGTTTAGGGTTTAGGAGTTTCGGGTTCAGGGTTTAGAGTTTAGGGTTTGGGAGTTTAGGGTTTAGGAGTTTCGGGTTTAGGAGTTTAGGGTTTAGGAGTTTAGGGTTTAGAAGTTTCGGGTTAAGGAGTTTAGGGTTCAGGGTTTAGGAGTTTCGGGTTTAGGAGTTTCGGGTTTAGGAGTTCCGGGGTTTAGGAGTTTCGGGGTTTAGGAGTTTCGGGTTCAGGGTTTAGGAGCTTATGAAGTTCCCAAATCTGAAACCCAAACAGCTTACAACCATGGTCTAGGGTTCAGGATTTAGGGCTTAGAAGCTTCATCAGGGTTCATAGAAGGGTCACTGAAAAGTGCTTTTCGGGGAGGGCTACGCCTACTTGGAACGTTGCTGTGACCTGAGAGTCTCCGATTTTTGGGGGTTCCTCAGAGTAGTTTTTGCAGGTTCCGAATAAAGTTAACACGACTTAGCCACTGATCTCGCAGTAGACCCTGTTCCCTTTTTTGGGATTCGACCTGGAGCTGGAAGTGGGGGACTTCGTCCGCCAGCTGGAATTGGGGGAGTTCCGCCTCCACCACCCGGTTCCTTGGCAGCGATGGCTTTGCATTGCACAAGCCGCCTATTCTAAACCGAAGCCTATTCCGATTCAGGACCTGTGATTGGTGAGGGAGTTCCTCCAAATCCTTTTGGGGGAGTTCCTCCAAAAATTGGGGGGTCCTCCAAAGTCGAGTGGCTTGGGGATTCCTCCAAAGTCGAGTGTCTGAGGTTCTTTCTAAAGCTCAACCCTACAACCCTACAAGCCCTAAACTCTACAACCCTATAAACCCTAAACCCCAAAACCCACAACCTTAGACCCAATCCCAAAGAGGGGATCCCTTTTCTTTTAATGCCAGTTTTCTGGGGAATCCCCGGCTGAGGGTTGGGGGCATCGAGCTTTGTAGGACTCTGGGTTTGAAGATTTAGAGTCTTGGTTTGAGTGGTTTGGGTTTCCCAAAGGCTCCATGTACCCATATGGTAGGTACTTAGGCCTTAAAGTACCTATATAGGGACCCCTTTAAGGCCGAAGTAACTACTATATGGGCACATGGAGTCTTAGGGTTTTGGTTGGAGGATTTCGAGTCTTGGTTTGAGAGGTTTGAGTTTTGGTTTGTGGCTTTTCCGTCCGAGCTTAGGGTTGATTTGATGGTGTCGCCCAGCTCAGGAGTCGTAGCACGCCCCTAAACCCGTAGCACTGCACTGCGGCTTTTTCTGGTGCCTTCCTACCAAGGTTGAAAACGAGGATAGACAGGATCTTGGCATGTGGGGTGGACTTAGGGTTTAGGGTGGACTCAGGAATTACGTCCACCTGCCAAGACCTACTTGTTTGCATGCTCTTCTTGTACACCCTGAGGTACGGAAATTAAAGGGGCCGTGCAAAAAGTAGGTTCTCATGGGTTAAGGTAGGATCCTGCTTCACAAGGTTGAACAGCGGCCACCCGTATAGAGGAGCCCGGTCGCTGCCTGAACCTCGAAAAAACGAAGTTGTAATACTTAGCAATGGGTAACAGTAATATTCATTCCTGAGGGTTCCTTCATACAGCTGTATAGACTACATCTTACTAAGATTCGTAATCTGATACACGGAGTCATCCTGATTTCAAGTATGTCATGTTGGAAGATCTGGGTACAAGTGTGCGGTTTCCGTTTGAGGAAATCGTGGACACAGGGTATCTAAACTTTCCCGGTCCCGACGTCTCCACCACAAATGCAGGTCCCACCGCGTTAGTCCTTGCCTGCGCTCAAGGCCGCGGTATCATTTGAGGAAACTGACGGGGACAGGTGTTCGTAGAAAGAAGCAGACTCTAAGAGCACCAAGCAGCGCGTATGGTGGTTCATGTTGCGATCTGTTGTAGTTTTCACTATAAGTCCGTGCTGAATTTACAATTAGTCAGCTGACCAATCGGTTTATAATTGCGCAGTTCATGCGCGTGACATTTGATGTATAATCAGTAGGAGCAGCAGAAACCGCAGCGGCGGCAGCAACTGAACACGCCACAGCAACAGTAGTAGCACGACTACGGCGACAACGACGACGCCGACGATCACAACGATGTCATCATCGACACCATCAACATCATCCGCACAAGCAGCAGCAAGTCAAATGTTACAACAGCCGCAATGCCAGCCAGTACGGCTAACCGTGCTAAAAGCACCTACAGCAGCAGCAACCACAAGGGCAAAGCCAGCAAGCACTCTGTCAGCACATTTTTTGGTACGTGTTGCTTTCGACATTCCTCAGTCTTGTAGGCAGGTTTGTCCAGCAGTAAAGCTCAAACTAAAGACCCAGATCCGAGAGCCTGAAACCGCACCACCTGCAATCTCGAAGCCCTCAGTGTAAATCCCCAAACCAGCAGCTTGCAGCCGAGAAGCGGCCGAAGCCCGAAATGTCAAATGATCTCACAAATCCGGTCACACTCACTCCGAACCCTCCAACCTAAACCCCAAGAGCCTGCGTAGGCTCATGAAGCCTGTATGAAGCCCTCAGCCCTAGAAAAGCCCCTGGTGGCTCCGGCAGGTCATCAGGCTGTGGCTGAGGGGCTGCTGGCAGCCAGGCCTTTAGAGCTCCGTTCTGAAATGTAGGGCTCGGAACTACGGTTGATGATATAAATCCTGCATTACCTTAAGGGCCCTAGACTATGGGAATTATGGTATATTCCTTATAGCCTTATAATGGGTCATGCAGGATTTATACCATCAACCGTATTACTATAGCATCTCCTTGTAGTCCCGATTACGCTTAGACATTACTGGGGCCAAAAACTCTGTCCTCATAGTCCCTAGCACCCTACACTAGCAGGCCTGGGATATCCGTTGAGTCGACCTGAGAAGGTTCATGTGTAAGAAAGAAGCCTCATCTAGGATGCCCAGTAGTACCCTTATTCCTTTTTTGTAGTCCTAGGTTCCTTATAAAGTTACCCAATACCAAAAAGGGAGCCCTGTTTATTCCTAGCTTACTGGGCATCCTACGGTCGATGGTATAAATCCTGCATTACCGTAAGGACCCTAGACTATGGAAAGTATGGTATATTCCTCATTATGGGTAATGCAAGATTTATATATCATCAACAGTAGTTCGTGTGTAAGAAAGAAGCCTCATTGATTATCCCCCGAAGGGTCCAAATATACTCAAGAGCAAAGGACTTCTGGACTCTGTTAGGTACCGAAAGCCACGGTTTAGGGTGTAGGGTTTAGGGTTTAGGGACTACTTGGATCCGTCAGGTACCACTATACAAGTCCCCAAGCTTCATTTCTACAATAATGCATGTTAAAATGTGTGGGTTTTCTCTGTTTCATCTACTATAGAGGCTATGGTGGCCTGAGTCAGTAGCTGAACAATGCCCACTCTTGCGGGTCATACTTGATTCAGTTTAGGGCTTAGGGTTTAGGGGTTCTCATGCTAAGCAACTTAGTTTAAGTCAGCATGATACAGGTCTATAGGCAATAATGCGCTGCCTCATTATGGAAACTTGAATTAGGCTTCTTAACAAGGATCCAGTATAGGATATACTTTGGCCGACTATAGGCGCTTGGCTCCGGCGTGCCATGTGTGATGTTTCTGGAGAGAAGTGTTTACCAGGAGCCCCAAACTCCCACATATACTATAGGGGCTTGAGTATTTGGAATAGGGTTCTGGGGCCCCATATACTACAAGTATAATAAGGAGCCCCCCTGAAATAGTATAAGTAATTATTTAGGCCCCTATATTCTTGCCGCTATACAAGTATAACTCCCAAAAGACCATCTATCTTATGGTTCTTGAAGACCTAAGTTAATCCCGTAATCGTAATATGCTTGGACCCTCTCGGGAATGGACGTTTTCGGTTGCTTGAGAATCCCCACTTAAAGGATCATGGGACTTAGTAACTAGGGTTATGATTAGGATAACTATACTTATAACCATTTATAACCCCCATTAAGGTACTTATAACCTTACTGACTAAGTCCCATGATCCTCCAAGCAGTGCTTCCGCGCGACCGGGCGCACCTGAGCCGCCACAGACCAGAAAGGCGATCAGTAAAGTGCAAAGCAAACCCTATGTCGAATTACAAGGTTTCTGAGTAGTACCCTCTTTAAAGGGATTCCTTGAAGGGTTCTATAGGGCAGCCGTAAAGGGCTCTATAAGGGATCTATAGGGGATTAGGGTCTACTAGGTTTCTGAGTAGCAGCCTTTTTAAAGGGGTTCCTTAAAGGTTTGTATAACTGGCTGTAAAGTCTGTAAAGGCTTCAATATAGGGGTTCAGGGTCTACTAGGTTCCCAGTAGTACCCTGTTGCCCTTTTTATGTTGGGGTTTCCTGATCGGGACAGGATAGTAGGAAATGGGCACCCGTATCATAAAGAGGCTACTCAGGAACCTAGATGCTGATACCCTGATGCCAAGGAACCTGCACCTGAATCCCGGCATTCGATGCCCCAAACCTAACTCGCTTGGAAGCCTGTAATTAATCATCGCCAACAGTATTCTATGGGTTCTTACATATTCTAGCTACACTTTAGTTTAAAGAACCCGAAACCTTAGTCTAGCGATTAAGGCCCTTGTAGTAGGTTGACTCTACTTGCTGTTGAGATTGCAGGTGCGATGCCAACCTCAGCTACGCCGAAGGCAGTGGGTTCAGTGTCAGTGTGCTAGGGCCCGGGAAGAAGTATAGAATGATTCCTTGTAGGCCCCTTTCAGGAACCTTTTGAGGAACCCTATTCTACTCATCAAGGCCCTCAAAGCTTTCCTTTCAAATCGACTTTATTGATCCCCTCAATGCACTCTAAAACCTAAACCCTATAGCTCCCTTTACTAAAGCATTTAGGAACCCTTTAAGGGACTCTCTCAGGAACGATGGGGTTCTTTTTCAGATCCCTTCAAGGAACCCGTTTCAGCAATCCTGTAGAAATTTTGGGAAACTCTTGAAGGCGTCCGTCAAAGGAACCCTCTACGATCTCTTCAAATGAATCCTGTAGGAGCCCCAAGGCAACCTTCACGATCCCTTTAAGGGACACTTCAAGACACCTTCAAGGACCCTGTAGAAGAGCTCGTCAAAGAATCATTTTAAAAGAGCTCATTAAGGGACCCTGCGAAAGAGCCCTTTCAAAGACCCCTTTATGACTCTCCGTGACAAGACTCCTACCATTCGCAAAGGAATTTGTGCCGCCATCGCGGTTGAGCTTTGACTGAAGGAACCGTTCGAGATCCTGTAAAGGATCCCTTACAGGAGCCCTTTTTTGATCCCTTTCGGCAGCCGCGGTTCCAGGCCTCTTTACGACCCCAATAAGGAGCCCTCCTTTACGGAATCGTTCGAAATCCCCTAAGGTTTCCTTTTAAGAAAAATCAACTGAGATCCCTTCAGGATCCCACTGGACCATAACTACAACAAGGAACCCCCAGAACCTTATTCTAGTTATTAAGGCCCCTTCATCAAGGATCCGTTCAAGGAATCCTAGGGTTCCAGGCCGGAAGTTATCGGTGGCGCTTCTCCGCGAGGATCCGACAACTGGCTGGGGATTGAACTGGGAGGAGGCCAGGCGCTGTTAGGGGTTTTGTAGGGGGGATCTTAGGGTTCCTTTAATGGGTCCTTTCAGGCATCTGAAGGGGTTCCTTTAAGGGATCCTTTAAAGGGATGTAGGGTTTAGGGTTTTAGGGTTAGGCTCCTATATGGTACAGCTCTTACAGGCATCATTTCTGGGCTCTTCAAAGGGACTTGGGGTTTGGAGCTGAGGGTTTATGCAAGCGGTCTGGAGACAATCCAAGCGAGAGCAACGCCTGGATCCAGATTTAAGGACTTAGGGGTTTGGGGTTCAGGGTTTTACCCTAAACCCTAAACCCTAAACCCTAAACCCTAAACCCTAAACCCTAAACCCTAAACCCTAAACCCTAAACCCTAAACTTAGTGAGGGGTCGCATCCGTCGAGCGACAGACCCCGAACGACTGGTCGAGGGCTTACAGCCCGAGCACCCATGCGAAAAGAGAGACGGAAAGGTGAGGGTAAAGCCTCACCGCCTGTCCTGGACAGGCCAACGGCTATTGGCCTTGTTTACGACACCGTCCAGCCTCGAATAGGGCTGGCCGTACCCAGACCACCTTAACGTAGTTAAATTTTAACCCCAAAGCCTGCCCCATTTCGCTCTGGGCGTGCAACCCTGAATCCTAGACCTGTCCTGGACCCCCTGGCCCCCTGGGCCCCCTGGCCCGCTGCCCCCCCCCCCTGGCCTGTCCCTGACCCGCCTCGCCTTGGAAGCCGGAAATCCGACCTGCCTCCCCAAGGAGGCTTGGAAATCGCTTCCGGAAAAGGAGCACGTACTGCAAAATCGACGATTTTGGTGCTTTTGCGGGGTTCCCCCCATGCTGTGAAAATCCGAAGGGCCTTGGAAATGGCCTCCGGAAAATGAGCACGTACTGCAAAATCGAGGATTTTGGTGCTTTTGTGGGGTTCCCCCCCATTTCGGGCCTTGGAAGCCGGAAATCCGTCAAAATCCGAGGAGCCTTGGAAATGGCCTCCGGAAAAGGAGCTCGCACGGCAAAATCACAGATTTTGGTGCTTTTGTGGGGTTCCCCCCATTTCGGGCCTTGGAAGCCGGAAATCCGGAAAAAATCCGAGGGGCCTTGGAAATGGCCTCCGGAAAAGGAGCGGCTATTGCAAAATCGACGATTTTGGTGCTGTTGTGGGGTTCCTCCCATTTCGTGCCAAGCCGGAAATCCGTGAAAGCCCTAGAAAAGCACGAAAATGATCGATTTTGTATTACCCGCTCCTTTCCAAAGGCCCTTTCCAAGGCCCCAAGGATTTCTTCGATTTCCGGCTTTCAAAGCTGTCAAACGATAAGCTTGAAGGGCCGAGCCGGCCCTGCCATGCCGAAGGCCCGAAAAGGGCCGAGGCTACTCCCAGCCATTGCCTAAACCACAACTTCAACAACTGGGACGTTCATGGGTGCAAAAAAATCAAATAAAAAAACCCTAAACCCTAATAGAGTATAGTTTGGGTGGCCGGGGTGGGTTTACAAGCAACGCGAGCGCGCGGCCCGGGGTGCTGCACACCCGAGCGCGCGACCTCGCCAGACACACCCTAAACCCTAAACCCTAAACTGAGGCCGGCCCCACTTCAGGCTAAGGGGCCGGCCGCAGCAGGCGGACCGGAAGGCGCCTGCGGACCGTAGGCGAAGGCCGGAAGGCGAGCCGCAGGTCCCAGCCGATAAGGCTGCGCGGCTTCGCAAAGGCCGCTGGATAGCGAGCTAGCTATCCCTAGAATAAGTAACCCCAAACCTTGGTCTTGGACCGATGCAACCTTCCTTTAAAGCCTTAAAATTACGGCCGGAAACTAAAATTAAGGACCCGGAACCTAAAATTAAGGGCCCGGAGGACCAAAACTTAAAATTAAGGACCCGCGAGAGGATTCGGGGTTTAAAATTCAGGAAGGCCCCCCAAGGCCCCTCACAGCACGTTGCGCTGGCAGGGAGCCACGACCGCCGCAGTCCCCTCCGCATCAGGGTGTGAAGGACCAATGCTTCGTCGTCCTTCTCTGTGAAGGACCAGCCCCCTCTGGAGCGGATGCTTCGTCGTCCTTCTCTC